ACAGGCGTGGGTTGACCTGGCTGGGATGAACGCGGGACGAGGAGGGGGGCAATCCCTGGTTTGCCGTGAGATTTCAAAACTCCCGGCGTGCAGGCTGGCCCTCGGCACCTCCGTATAAGGGTAACGTTTGCGCTTTAAACCTCTCGGGCTGCCCGCCGAGGATGGACAAACCAGCGGTGAAAGCTCGGGCAGGGGTTTGGGTCCCTTCCCAGCCCCGAGGCAGAGATAAGCCTCAGCCCCTGCCTGCGTGGGAGCCCCCCAAAACACGCAACCCGCATTGTTGCGGAAAATAAGCCATCCCTGCAAAGCGTGGTTGCTGTCAGGGTTTAGCTCCTACCAAGTTCAACCCCCCGCTTCAAGCGATTTTTAACAGTCACAGCTGGGGCAGCTGGACAGACAGGGCGGGTTTAGCGGGACACGGGCAGTAGCGCCAGGGTATCAGCATTCATCCCAACGCACAAACTGATGACTCAGTGACTTTTAAGTGAAAAAATGTGATTAAAAAGCCGCCAGCTCAGAGAGCAGGGCCGGGTGCGAGGCAGCAGCTGGCCGCTGACGTGAGAAACGCAGCCCTTGCGTAGGGCCGCGCTGCGAGGTATTTGAAAAATTCTCCGGAGGGGTTTATCGGTCACTGGGACGACTTACGAACGACGCGGTGATTTGCCACCGGCTCCTCTCCCCGGCTGGCGCTCTCCGCTTGATGCTGGGGTCAGCTCAGACCCGAGACCTTGAGGGATGGGGGGGTTCGAGATAAATTTGTTGTGATATTCACTACCAATTGGAAGGAATCGCTGCTTTGCAAGACAGGCTTTCACAGCTCCTGTCCCCACCATGCTCTGGGGGAGCCATCTGGGTGACGAGCAGACCGCTCCATTCGGCGCAGAGCTGTGGGACGTGCCCTGAAGTCCCCTCGCTTCCCTCCCACTGCCGGGGGTAGCCTGTTTCCAAAACCCGACTGCAAAAATGCCGGCAGCAGCAGTCTGTCACGCAGGAGTCAAGGAGGTGGCTGTTGCAAATAAACACAGCCCCTAAATAAATCGATTCCCTCCCCGCCCTCAGCCAGGCCGGACCCCTCCAACCCACTGAGTTAGCTCAAAGAAAACAAGTAGCAAAAGAAACCCAGGCAAGATAATACAACCCATCTGTGTTAAACTGTACCCCAAAGAATATTCTGTGTAGAAGTACAAGGACACGACATACAGAACACGCATGTACGCGTGCCAGGTGGGAAGGCAACTCCAGCCGCCTTCCCCTCCCCGCCCGGCCATGTGCTGATCATCACAGCATCCTGCCGGAGGATGTGGAGATGTCGTGGATCACGCTCAGCCCTTTGAGGCCAGATGCCTTCCACCTTTCAGTGCCGCTTCTTCCCCTTTCAACGCCGGCAAGACGCGAGGGCGGAGGCCCAGCACGGATAGCGCCGGGGAAGGAAAATCGCTGCTTAGCATCCGACGACAGAACTTGGGAGGAGGTCCTCAGCTGGCGTACCGCATAACGGCGACATCACGGAGCACTTGGTTTTGGTCAGGACAGACTTCGTACTGCTTTGAGAAACGCAGAGGCAATCGGGGGCGGTGATCTTTGAGGATCGAAGCGGCACAAGCTGCTGGAGTCCCCTCTCTGAGAGGTGATGGCCTTGCAGAGCCTTCACACGACAGCACTGCGGCCAAGAGACCGAGAGCCTCCTCCGTGGTAACACCAGCAGCAAGCCGAACCTAAACCCTCGCGGGGCAGCCCGAGGGCCGGAGTGAACCCCCCCCCCATCCAGGAAAAGGAATAAAGTAACCAAACACCCCTCCCCACTGCTGGAATGAAGCAGCTCGTGCAAAGCAGTGCCGCATCCAGGCACCTTCTCCCCTGAAACACTGAAACAGGGGTTCCCAAAGGAGGTTGGGCCCCTTCTTACCTCACCGGGCAGAGACCCGAGTACCAGCAAGCAGGACTCGCTCCGGCTCAGAGGCGACAAGCTCTTGCATGGGGTGAGAGGGGTTAGGAAGGTTTAATCTTAAATTATAGCAAAGACTCATCTACTCCAGCCAGCTGCGCCGAGACCCCAACAACCCAGGGAGAGAGGCAAAACAAAGCATGGGTTAATTTGGGCAAGTCCCACTTTGGAAAGCACTTGAAGAGGTTTTCACACCTCACGGTTGCAGCAAATGACGGGGAACCCCCCCAAGAAGCTGTTCAAGCCATAGATTAGAGTATTAAACAATTGCTTCAGTGTTAGCTTCTGTCTCTGAATTTCCAGTTAGCTTTTCCCCACGCCTTGAACCTCAGCACCACTTCGCCAGCCCGACGCAAGGCACTGAGGTTTCACGTGCTCCCACGGAGGTCAGGGTACCGATTTCACCGCGATTATTGGGGGAGGAAGGGGAAGGATCACTACACGGTAGAAATCATCTGCTACAGGAAGGAAAAAAAGATCCCTAGGCCTAGAAGGAAGGTGGATGGTTTTCTGTAAACTGTTAAGGCAAGAGGCCTATCGGAGATCCATCAGGACCACGTCTCTCTCGACTACTGACACGTGATTGCAGGTCTGGAAGAGAGGAAGAGAAAGAGGAGACAGGGGGTTATTCAGATGTTCCCACAGCTCAGGTGAGTCTCCTCTACCTCCTGACACAACCTGCCCCCTTCGCAGAACAGCCCTCTCAGACCAGGACCTAGTGCCCTCCCCGGTGCCCCACAGAGACCATTAGCAGGACGCAAATACAAACCTCTCTCTCTCAAATACAAGCCTTTGCTGCTGCCTTGACCTGTTTCTGCAGAGAAGTGTTCTGCATCCACCTCCAACATGGGCTAACAAGTCAGAAAGCTTTTCCATCTCAACTCTAGGAAGAGACAAGCCCCTGCCAGGCTGACCCTGGGTCAGACCCTCCTGTCCTGGGTCACAGCCTAGCACCTCGACACAAATATAAATTCAAGTGAAGTGTTCAACATGCCGACTCACGGTCCTACAGCCCCCGCTGCCTCGTGAGGTGACTTACAGTGAAGAGAGGAGGGTCTTTGGAGTGCGGGTGGAATCCTTTCTGCCGGCAGGAAGAGATCTCCTCCAGGCCATGCTCTGTCAGCTTGAAAAACCCCGTCCTAGGGCAAATAAACGCACGCTCTGTGTAGCTCAAGCCTCTGCAAACAGAAGCACCTCCTTCTATGCCTGACGGAGCGCGCTTGAGTCTGCTCATCTCAAGCGAGAGCACAGATGCACGCTGTGGGATGCTCCTCTGCCCGGGACACTCCTCTCCCCAGCTCTGCAGCTGCAGACAGGTCTCCTTTCACGGGTGGGCAACGACGGCCCAGGTACGACCTCCCCCGAACCCGCTCAGAAGAGCTGTCGAATCACGCATGCTCTTCCAGCCTCTTTTGGTAAAACTTTCATTGTGTGACTTGACATTTTATTCCCACATCAGGAATCCAATAGAGGAAGGATCGTGGTAAACAGCCCTTCAATACCTTCTGAAGAGGCTAGACCTCCTGCCCAACCTTTTGGTTGGGCAGCACAGGCAGAGGGAAAGGCCTTACCTACCCCACATCCATACTTACTCCTGGTATTTCGGAGAACACACAATAGCAATGGACTCTGGCAACATCATCTGGTAGGAGCAGTGCGTGTGCAGGTCGACGCTGGAGAGGAAGGCTGTCTGTGTGGGGTGAGTCTGAAACACAGGGCAACATAAAAGTTACAGCAGCGTTGGAAGACTAGTCCAAAGGGACCGCGTCTGCCAAGAGAAGGTTGTAACAGAGAAGAGAGACAGCTCCTCGGATGGCACAGAGGACACGCTTCCACACTGACAATGGTTTTGGATTGCCCCGAAACATCTGCTCCTCTCTTCCATTTGGAATAAATACAGGAGGAGCTCTACATTTCTGGCCACATCCCACAGAAAGTCACACTTCAAGGCACAACGCTGTCCTTGCTTTCACGCATGCCTCCCTGCAGGGCACTTGACACGTTTCTCAAGTGCAGCTACCCCTGGGGCACAGCATCACCAGACACGTAACATACTGCCAAGGCACTTCAAGATACCACATTCCACCGTGACGTTGTATGATCACAGACAACCACCGCCTTACCCAACTCCGGCTGACAGCCAGATTTCACAGCCTAACTCTTGCTGAAAGGTCTTTCCCCTTTTGCTTATCGGGTTTTTGTTGCCAAGACCAGCAGAAAGGTCAAAGGGATTCTTGAGGGTCCCTGGACGTTGCAGGGCCATCACTGAAGAGTTAACACCAAAAGCAGACACCCCGCGCACATCAGGCACATGCAGCAGGCATTTATTTGTCAGAGCCTGCGAGGCAGCTGCTGCTTTCGAGAGATTACTCAGCAGCACCAAACATTTTGCTTGGCACCGATCCGACTGCCAAAGGCTCCGCGGGGACAGGCAGCAGGGCAGCGCTGAAGCCCGTGGAGGAATCTGGAACTGGCACATCCCGCGGCAGAGCAGCACACAGCTGTCCGTGAAAAGCAGCGCTACTACGGGGACGCATCACGGGAGAGGCCCTGCGCTGACAGCAGGAGCTCGGGATGCCCCGACAGAAGTCGGCTTTTAGCTGGATGAAACATGAGCTTCGTGCCCAATACCCCACTCTCAAAGGGCCTGATGCTTTCGAAAGGGACCCAAACTTAAAACAGGCCTGGATTTCTCCAGCAGCGTGAGTAGTGACTGAGACCGCACCAGAGGGAGAAATCCAACTGGAGGATGCTGCCTGCTCCACGCCACCTCCTCCAGCAAATTGTCCTCCGCCAGCCCTGCTCCGCGCACCCCTTTCCCTCCTGGCTGAATGCAAGGCCAGTTGGGAAGTGAAACGGGAACGAGAGACTCACATGGATCCAGCCTAGCGTAACAAGGCCATGCTGATCCTGGATCACGAAGAGCTCCTCCTCATTCTCCGTGTTGCAATAATCGGGGCCTCCGTACTGCTTGGGAACGATGACGTGGGTTATCGTGAACTCGTTCCTCATCTGCAAGGCAGCACAGGGAGGCCGTTACCCACCAGACACCCCCCGAGCAGGAAACACTGCTGCCGCCCACTGGTGCAAAGGTAATTTCCTAAGCTTTGGGAACGCGGTACTTCTGCATTCACCACTCAGGGGCCCAGCCAGGGGAACAGCAGGTCTGGAAACAAGCCCACGGATGCATCTACCGTCCATTTACAGGTCATGGAAACAGTAACTGCAAGTTACTGACAAAGGAGTCACGGGATTTTCTGAGTCTGAGCATGACCCACAGCTTTCTATTTCATTTTCTCTGCTGTGCAGAGCACCCGCAAGAGGTCAGAGAAGTCCTTGACACCCACCGAAGCAAATCATCATCTCTCCACTCACTAGGAGATGATGCCTCATAATTAAATAATCACCAAGTGCCTGGAAGCAGCTGGATTGCAGAAAATTGCTACATCAAACAACTTCATTTCAAAGCAAACGTCTGCAAGCAAAGCAGCCCCAAGCAACTCCGGGGAGACAGGCTGGAGCTGCCAATAGAAACCTGTGCAGGCAAACTCTCTGGGGGAGAACTAACTGTCTCCAGTCGGTGTTTGCACAGCCTTGTCTTGGTGAGGGTCCTAGTTCACAGCTGGGACACCTCAGTCCTGCTGGTACCAAAAGTCACCGGAGCTGCCTGTCCCCGGCAACGTGGGAGTGCTTGAAACAGGTACCCAGCAGAGTCTTCAACAGGAGAGGGGAAGCTGAATACCCATAGGGACTTGGTGGCCGGCACCTCATTCAGTGTGAGGAAATCCTAACGTAAAAGGGAGGAAAAGGAGAGGCAGATCATCCCTAACGCTCACATGAAACCCTAGTCACGAGTGAAACTGCACTACAGCCTTCCGTGGCAAAAATCAGGGTCCTTTAGCCATTTTCAAAGCTATTGCACACGTTGACAAAAGGCCCCTGCACCCCCTTCCAGGGTCTTAATTAGGATTACCACCTTACCAGCTTACCGCAGAGGATCCCACATGTCTCCACACCCCGGATCGTGTTGGCATCAGCCAGCTGGAGGAATTTCTGGCAGAGCTCCCTAGGGACAATGACCTGGCGAAGGACATCCATACTTGCATCTGTGGGGAGAATGGGAGCACAATGAGCAACGCCAGTCGGGGACGTTGGAGAAATGTTCCCTCAGGTCAGTATCTGAAGGGACTAGACTGAGAAAATTCAGCCTGGAAACATCAACTGCTCCAACGTCTACCCTTACAACAGCAGTCACAGATAAATGAAGTCACTGTGACACTTCATAAAGGACACTGACTACCTCTTCCAAAAGAGGGACACGTAGAGAGAAAGAGACCTTTAGCAGGGTGTCAGAAAAACAAGTATTTTGTTAAACAAAATGAAACCACAAAGACTTACAAAACGCCATTTAAAGTAAGATGCGGCACTGGTCAAGAACCAGTCATTTGGAAGTGTCCGAATCAGTATTTCGGAGCCGTATTTGGCAGAAGAGGAGAATTCGGTCAGCCTAGCCAGGAACTAAACCCCAATCTCCAACAAGTATTTGGATCTAGGAAAGCCAAATAGGCTGCAGACTCTAGATCAGCAGAGAGACTGGGCTGGAGAAGCGTGGGGGACCGATTCCCAAGAGGAGACAGCTCTCCCCAGCCCTGCAAACCTTTACTGGACAACGGGGAGAACATCCAGTGACTTGGAAGGCCAAACCCCCAGAAGGGATGGAGTCATGATCAGATACTTCCAAGAGCCTCCCGGCTAAATCAGCTCCTCGGCCGTGTTTGGCTCAGCCTCAGGAAGGGAGAAGGGTGCACTGAGAGGTACTAACTGTTTTGCGTGCTCCCCAAAGCACTAGGTTTTAAAGATCTGTCCACAACAGGAGGTTTGGATGAGACAGTCCCCGCTGATGGACTTGCAGGGTGAACTGGAGAGACGGGAACCTTTGGGATTAAATCAGTCGGGGGCTTTTCCACGCCAGGGATGAGGGGCTCGTCCAGAGACTCAGGACTTGGCTCTGGCTTTCCAAATTCCTGCACTATCCTTAGACGTTCCTTCTCCAGCTCCTGTCGTCGAATCATCTCCTCGAAGGCATGAAACTGCTCTTGCTCTGCCTGCTGCTGCTTCATCAGGGCTACCCGATTTCTCTCCTCTTCCAGCTGCTGCTGCAAAGCCAAATTGCGTGCAAATTCCTCTTCCTCCTCCTTCTGCAAGGAGAAATACGCCAAGGGACATCAGCAGACAGGGGAACACGAGCCCGAGGCAGAATACGAAGCCTATGCACTGCAGACCCTCAGCAATCCCAGACTACTTCTAAAGGGTCTGCAAACGGCACTCCCTGCAAGGAAGCTTCAGCTTGCAAACCAGAGATCCGCACTTCCATCAGGAGAGCCAGCTAGACCAGGGCAGTAAAACTGCTGCCTTACCCTCCCTCTTCCACAGAAATATAATTCCAGGTTGATTTCCCTCTATCCTATCTCCAAAATTGCACTTGTCCGCAGCAAAACTGACTGCAGAGTTTTCTGCTTTGCCCACAGAACCCCGGATCCTTGCCCATGCTGTTACCAGCCACCTGCTGAGTTTCTGGATCGTAAGACCTGGACCTCATGTTGGGACAAGGAGAAAAAACAACGAAACAACAGACCCAGCTCAGACTGCCTCCAGGATGCACAATGAAAAGAGATGCAGGGATGCCTATGACAGATTCACCTACATAACGGCAGCAGAGACATGATCGGGACAGCCCTGTGCTGCAGGTGACGAGGCTGGACCCTGCAAGCTGGGGCTACCCAGACTTCACATTTCAGAGCACCCAGGGAGCCCTGGAGACCTGCCCTCTGCCAAACCCTTTGTGGCTGAGGGTCTTCTGGGGAGCGCAGGCCTCCAGTCTCCTCTCACTCACCTTCTGCTCCTTGTACTTAGCATAGTCCTTGGCGTACCTCTTTAATAGCTCCTCCTTGAGCTCTTCAGCTCTGGGGAAGGCTACTTCTTTCAGTTTCTGAAGGGAGGAAACACAGTCATAAGAGTGCGATAGCCCCAAGGCAAGAAAAACGAGACCTGAACAGATGCAAGAATCGATGGACATGTAGCACCCAGAGATTATAAACCATCCAGTTGTTCACGAGGCAGGAAGGGCCGAGCAGCTCCACCACCATGCGTGGACGGGCTGTTGTAGCCGGGTGGCACAGACAGCACCGCCAACACCACTGAGCAAGAGCTCAGGCAGTGTTGCCCTTTTTGCTCTTCTGGTCAATGTTGAGCAGAGGAGCGGGAGCTTCTTGTGGCTGTGAGCCATCTCCAAGGATCCCCTGGCAAATCCCTTGAGGACCACCACATCGAGCATCCAGCCATCGTGGAAAAGCCACGTGGTCTTTAAAAACCAGGGAGTTTAACAGGAAAGAAAGGACACCCCAGCAGCTTAACAGAAAGTAAATTGGACGACCACAGCCAGCCCAGCACAAGTACAACGGGGTAAGAACAACCCAAACCATAACTCCCAAGGGGTCAGGACTGCCTGGTCAAGCCAAGGCTTCTCAGCATTTGTGTGGATCACTCATCCCAGAGGCATGAAAACCCAAGGTCGATGACCCCAAAACATTTCCGACAGCAGCCGTTAAGGACTTGGCAATGTTACTACTTACTTTCACTGTCTCCCTCTTTTCGGGTATGACAGCAGTTTTGTAATCACGGTGCTGTGGCAGCTTCTCAATGAAGAGCCTGTAAATACAGGAGAGAAACTGCATTTCTGAATCACAGCAGAAAGGGACAAACGCAAGACAGTTAAGTGGCATTTTGGGGGTACGGATCATTTCCCTCCACCACCTCCCTGGGCCTTGTGCTCCCCACAATCAGGACAGTCGTCTGCCTTTCTGCAGGAAAGCCTCCATCATATAACGGCCCTCTGAGCTCTTCATGGTGCACAGGAGATCTCGTTCGGTCCCAGAGGAGCACCTCCCACAGGAGATTTTTCTTCCACCTGGACTTTGGAGACGATCCTCAGGGATAAATACATTTGTTTTGAACAGCAACATTAATAAGCCAGTCTAAAACACCAAGGACGCTGGCAGCGATTCAGGAAGGTCCTTGGGCACCTGTCTACACCTCTGCGAGCATCCAAGGGGATTACACACAAGCTCAAGGACTCGGCTGACTCAGCACTCACACTGTCCTTCTGTATGGGGGAACAAACACTTTGTGCAAGAGATGGGGAAATTAACTCAGACCTTGGAAAGAGAAAACTTGCAGGTAAGCTAAAAGCAAGTTCACAACATCCCCAGCTGCTGCATCAGGAGCCTTTTGGCTCTGTGGCCCGACCACCCCCGGAAGGTCAGGGCAATATTTCAGGCAGCAGGGCTATTTCTGTGCAGACTTCTGGGAAGGAAATCAAGACTGAGCTCAACATCACCCCACTCCCAGCACGACTACGAACAGGTTAATCTCTACAAACAGGATAACTGTTCCCCCCTTCCAGGGAGCTCTGCAGGACACAGTGGTGAAAATGCAGAGGAGGAGTACTGCAAGCACTAGAACAAGGGAAAAAAGCCCACAAACATGGGGCAATTCACTCTGGCTCAGCTCTGTGAGGCTCCCCAGGCTTGAGGCATCCCCAGGTTATCTCTGCAAAGTCCCCAGCCGCGCACTAGCTGACTGCGTGCTCAGGGTGAGCTCACGGGGAGCTTAGCTGGGTCCTCGTCTCCTGCAAGTGGAGCTGTGCTTGCTGAGTGTCCACAAAGCCTGTGGGCGTAACGTAAAAAACCCTGCCACTCCTTCGTGGCTCTTTGCTACACCGCTTCAGCATCCAAAGGAGGATGCTCTCCAGCTCCTTTAGAGTGCAGCCTCGTGCCCAGGCACAAGGAATAAGGGTAGTGAGGACTAGACTGTGCCCCAGGGAGCAGCACCAACCAACCAAGCAGAGCCAAGCGGGAAAACCTCAGGGGGGACAGAGTGAGAAGGCTCTTCATGCTGAGAGTCCTCTGTGTGTGCAGTAAATGAACCCAGCTGCTTCAAAACCTCAGTCGTCTGGGAAAAAGGAAGGACTTTTTGGAAACCTGAACGCTCCTGGTTGCCACAGAGAGCGTGAGGATGCTCTCGCCAGAGACCACAGGATCAGCATAACCATGTCACAGCCCAGAGCCACGGAGAAGCCGTCGCTCCATCCGAAATGCCCAGCAAGGTCCCCTCTCCCGGCTGGTGGTTGCAAAGTAGGTCACTGTGTCGAGGAGACAAAACAAGGCTGTGATCATTGCCAACAGCTAGCAGATTAAAATGGAAGGGATTAATTAAGAAGGATTAAGAGCAGATGCTGGCCTGGGGAGGATGGAAAAAACAGCAGACAGCTGGGTTTCCACAAGTCAGGAAGGGGGGAAAAAAGTGGGCAGTGGGATGAGAGGAGGACTCAGGCAGCCAGAGGAAAACTCTGGGGCAAGACCAGGCAGCGGCAGGCTGGGGAGGGAGGCAGAGGAAGGGCAGGAACGGTTCACGTTTCCTATCGACAGCCCAGCTGAGGCTTGGCAAGACTGAAACCCGCGTCTCCCATCACCGGGAGTTTTGGGCTTGTTCAAACCTCCGCCTGCTCCCGAGTCCACTATGAGCAGCAGCTGTTTGGCACCGAGCAGCCACATCACAGGCTATTTTTAAGCGCTGCTACAGCACGCACGCCAAGCCGGCGTCTCGAGTCCCTTGCAACACCCCACGCAATCCCGCGGAGCCAATCCTAGCAGCTCACAGCCACGCAGGCAAACCAGGAGCCCAAACACCACAGAAAATTCATGCCTTTTTTTTCTTTCTTTCTTATTTGGCTCTAGCAAAATCAAACCTAGTGTGCCTGATTCAAGGAAAACATCCACTCAGATCAACACAGAAGCAGCTGTTCAAGACGACAAGGAAGCAGATGTCTTTCAAAGTGACAAGACGCATGTGTTAAAAGCCCAGCCTGGTTATCCTTAGAGATACTTGTGCCGCCCTCCCTCCAGCCCCCCGTGAGGAGGGCTGGGCAATGAGCTTCATTTCCACATGGGAAAGAGAAGTGCTGTGCGGCCAAACGACCTGCACGAGATCGAGCAGGTGGCCGGAGGCCAAGCAGGGAACTGGCTGCCTCAGTGGGAACCTCAGTGCGGATCCGTCTTGAGATTACCCCATGTCTAGACAAGATTGTCTCAAAAGTGATGGCTCTGCAAATCAGGTGCCACAAGACAGATCTATCTCATGGTGTAATTCAGGCCTTGAGATCAGCCTTGGGGAGTGCCGTATAGGGAAATAAAGAGAAACCCAGCTTCCTAAAGCCACACAGACTACACCTCCCTCCCAAGGACGATGCGCTCGCTCCCACCAAACACACCAAACTAAGAGCGTCTCACGTGCTATTCGGGGCTGGAGTCCTCCCCTTCCCAAAGGCGCAGCCTGATGCAGAAAGCGCCTGCACTAGGCCATACGCTCCGGCAGGGAGCTGGGCTCTGACAAAGGATAGCCACAGCACCGCCTGCAGATGTGGGCTGAAGCATCGGGGGGAAGAATTCGGGTCCCGTTTCTAGAAAGGGGAGAGCAGAGCATGTCCCGTGAGAGGCTCCAATTACCAGCGCCCCGCTCTTGCCTTCTGGATCACGCCTTTGGGGAAGGACATCTAGAAAACACTTCATCAAGCCTACCGCTTGAGCTACAGCTTCACATCTTCCTTTAAAGAAATGAGCCGGTGACATTAAGTTCATATCTTCAGACAATCCAGGGCAGAAGCTCATACTCATCAGCACTGGAGAAATCACACCTCTGAGGGGAAGTTTTTTCACCTTCCTGGCAGCCCAGCAGCCAGGCAAACGTAAATGCCACGAGCATTTGAAAGCTGCTGGAGAGAAAACACACCAGCACCCATCACTGCTGTAATGAAACAGTGAAGGTGCTTTTAGTTCATTTGTTTAGTGAAAGAGTTTCTCCTTTGGCCACGGCTCCGTAACCAGCCTGGAAACCTTCCCAAGGATTTTACACTTCCCAGCTCCCTGTGCAGCCTCCCGGGGCACTTTGCTATGTTGCCCATAAAAGCTGAGGAAGTGCAAGGCGGGAAGAAAAGCTAATCGGAGAAAAATGCGTTGGATTTACGGGGCAGGAACCCTGCACACGGGGGCAGGGAGAGAAAATGCCCACGGAGATGCCAACCATATGCTGGATAAGCGGGTAGTGTGGGCACAGCAGAGACCATATCAGAGTGGCACTGGGCGAAAGTGGGAGGGACAGGCTTTTGGCCAAAAAACCCATAGGAACAGGACATTTCGTGCCAGTGGGATATTTTCTGAGGGTCACAGTTTTCAGCCCCTTGAACACCGACAGACACAGCTACAGAGAGGCACATGTTTGCTCTGCTCGTACTCCGGGCTGCTCAGGCACCATCCGGACCTGGGACCACGTCACCGCGTTAGCACAGCGTACGCTCCTGCTCAGCAGGCACGGCAGTGGGGTTTCAGACCCAAGGTGGCTCAATTTCTGGCCAACTGCAGAGATGACGGCAAGAATATGCGGCTCTGCGCTTGTCTACACGGAATGTAGACCCTACAGCTGGAGACCTGGCAGCTGAAACACCAAACAGGGTGTTGGCTGGGTTTATATACGATCTGGGGCTTTCTAGAAGGGTGCTCAGTGCCCAAGAAACTCATCAGTTGATTGGGATCAGGTTCTTTGGACCCAGAACTCTTCCCCATGTCCCTCCTGAGAAGGGCTTGGGTGTATGCGTGCGTGTTTGAGGGGGGGGATTATATACTTTCTGAGATCTAAAACTAAACGTACAACTGGTCCCTGCACCTCAAGGAGGAACTCGCTGCCTGCTGTAAAAGGCTGTAGTAACTTAAGTGTAAAGCAGGCTTCTCCTCCAAAGCCGGTTTATTAGAGAAACCACTAACCAGCCTAGATCCTTTCCAGGTAGATGCTCGATACCGAGATCCCTGACCACGGAGATCCTTGCCAATCCGTATGATGTCAGGGCCAACCTAGCAACAATCCAGGCCAATCTAGCCACTCTGCAATGATAAAACACCAGGAAGCTTTGACGTACAGGGAGCCGAAACCTGCCTCCTGTTGACAGGAGGCTCCACTAGCAGAAGGACAGAGGGATACACGATGAGCCTCATTTCAAAGGGAACTTTTAGAAACCTCCTGCAAAGAGGTGGGCGGAGTTTGTGGGCTCGCGCCTCACACCTTTACGACATCTCCTGGTCAGTCTAACCAGCTGTATCCTCACCTCTGCGGTAACCGAAATTCAAAAGGAGCAGAGCTCTGGACAGAACCCAGTTCTTCCAGCTCAGCCAGGCCTCACAGCGTTCAGACATGCTCAAAATATGCAACACCAAACCCACAACCCCTTGTATCGACACGGGCTACATGCAAACAAAGCACCGCTGCTCTTACGTGATGTATTTGTTGTACAAAATAAAGGCATGCTCGATATTGCCTTCCTCCGAGTAAATGGTCGCCATGCGGAGGATTTCCACTCCGGAGCGGTAGTAGCGTCGTGGCGGGACATCCTCGTTCACTTCCACGGCGCTTCCCACCTGGATCAGCCTTCGGACGCGCTCCTCCGGCGGGAGGCTGACGTCGGCGTGGTCGGGCATAATAACGCACATCAAAGCTGCCGCGAGGCTGACGAACTCTGTGGTGGGAGGAAAGTCAAGTGTATCAAAACCAGCGCAAACCAGGTAACTCGTCCAGTTTCCTCAGGACTGTCTTTCCTCGATAGAAATCGCACCCCCTCAGCAGAAAAGCGTTTAATACATGGGCCAAGGTAGGTCCTGAGGGAGGAATTTGGAAGAAGCCCAGCTCTTTTTTGGGCACAGTGCTTGGATATTTACCTTTACGACCTGAAAGGCAGCCACAAATTCAAGATCAGTCCTTGGTAATCGATTTCAAGCTAGGGTCTGACCCATCCAAATCCTACCCAAAGTAGCGCTTCCTTCCCAATTGTCTCTCCACACAACAAAACTAGTGCCGGTCACTAGTCTGGGGGGAGAGGGCAAAAGCGTTTCATTCAGACTCGAGCAGAAGTGGCTTTACACGGGGTTTCAACACTGCAGCGTTCACCGTTTCGCTTCCCCAGCAGTGAAGAGGATGGAGCTGAAGGCCATCCTTCCAGCCGCTACTGCCCAGCAGATCCATCACCACCCAACAAGCTTGATCCCACCT